ATGTGGAGTCATCGTCAGAGCATAGCGGTGCTATGATTTTCCACGTTTTCCCACCATTAAACAGGCTGATTTTTTGTAAGACAGCCTTTTACAATAATTGTATCGTTTCTCGCCCACTAATTGGCTAATTTTCATGATCAATAATGAAAGCGTTTTCACATGACGTCACGGGGGCCATAATGGTGTCCCAAAACAATGAAACGGCGGCCATGTTGGTGTCCAAACCAATCCTGTGAGAGTTGAACTCTTTTCTTATGTAACGCTTTCTTTTGTTCCAAAACGGTCATTTGCTGAACGAATGCCAAATTTCGATGCTTTTCTTTAGTTAAGTTTCGTAAAAGAGTCACTTTCTGTCTGCTAGGAGAAATAGCCAGATAGCTCTGGTCACGCAAGACTTGCATCCTTCTTGGATTCTCTGCAAGAAGCTGAAGCAGAGGAAATTGAACAATTTGAACACTCAGTTTCCAAAAGCTGAGACGGCTTGCTTGAAATTGTACAGCTTAAAAACTGCGATTCAGATATTAAAAGCTTTTAATATTCATGCATAGTTTTAAAGTTAAAAATAGTAAGAAAACAAACAATTCTGAAAGTCTTATTCAAATTAAACACATTAATTACTTAACAGTGGTTTTCTTTTGACAAGTACTGGGTGTTTTTCTGATCCCTTTCTCTGAAAGCAAAACTAACTTTTTGTACAAACTTTGTGAAACTTTGCAAGTTCCTGGTAAGTTAATTTGAGGACTACATGCCTATAACGCACCTTTCGATTTGATTTTAAGCAGTTCATATAGCTGAATGGCTTTCACGACGACAAAGACGGGATGAAGTGAAGTAAACATGTACACCAGGTATACGATTTACGTTCGTACTTTTCGGTTAGCAACGTAAATTCAAAAACTGCTTGTGCGGCGAGTGGATCCACGACACACTTTGACAATGTTACGACGTAATTTTATCATCAATAAGACTGAATGATAAAACACGGTGCAGGTAGACAGATAGAAAATTTCCTCAACATAAAATCTAACATAGTTAGTGCCACAATGTTAAAGAAGGATTTGAATATTTAGGTTTTGTTTAAAGAAATCGAATATTGGGAACACCACAGCAACAACCCAGTGAGGGGTATCGGATCTTGGTGTGGACCTTCAGAAAATAAACAACAACCAACAAACAAATAGTAAAATGTATTTGAACGATATTTTTGGTTGCAAAACATTAACGTTATACGAGAGCTATAATGCCTTGATGGGGATTGTCGTGCATTGATATAATAAAAAAAGTGGTTCTGAATGAAACGAAGCAGCTCACGGTGGGGCCAAGCTGCCTTTAAAATCAGTCGTCAAAGCGTCGCATTTTTGGTTAACTTACTATGACTTTGCTGACTTTTACTCTCTCTACAAAACGTGGCCTGTAAATATGGAGCATCAAGCTAATACAGTAGAAGTCCCGTTAACTCGAACTCCGAAGGGAAAGAAAAACAGTTCGAGATAGGGGGGTTTCGAGTAATCGGCTTGATTGAATGTCAAATTTGCCGTCTTACTAATTATTAGTTGCTGATTTTCAGCACTTCAGTGTATAGTACAGTGAGAATTTAACTTATTTCATCAGAAAGGATAACATTGTTATGCTTTTTATGATAAAACGTTATCTGTTAGTTGTACCAGATTGCTGTCACTGTGTTAAGTTAGTTTTAATGTTTTTACTGATTATACAACAAGAAGAGCTAAATGCTAATGAAATGGCACTGATCCGAGTGGGGTTACATTAGAACCAGAATTCGATTTACTGGGGGAAATTTCAGTGAAATTTTGATCAAGGGAAAGGAGATTTAGATCGAGTTAGCGAGGAATTCGAGTTAACCGAGTTCGAGTTAACCGTGTAAAAATGACTTAAAAGTGGGGTGAAATCCAAGGGAAATGGGACTTAGTTCGAGTTAGCGAGGAGATCGAGTTATCCGCGGAGTTCGAGAAATCGTGGTCCTTCTGAAGTGGCCAAAAATGACATAAAAAAATCATAGGTATCGCTTTTTTTTTTTTTAAATATGATCGATTCGGGGTACACTTAAATGATTAAATTTCTTTGAATTGCCATTACTCGAGTCATATGTGTGTAAGCGAAAACAAGTCTTCAGCTTTTTACTCCCCTTCGAAAGCTCTTTAATCAGATGATATAAATTTGACTATGAATTTGAAAGCTTCATTAAACCCATTTTGGTATACTGTCATAATTTGACGTTTTGCGTCAAACAAAATCTGAATCATAAAAAATGCGAAGCATTAGCCCAAATGACCGCGGTTAGAGAAAAAAAACCGTTAACAGAGAAATGAAAACTATTTTCTGACTGGAGAAACTCACAGGCTACCGAGGTATTAGATGCAAAAGAAACTATCAAATATCAAAAACAATAGAAGACAGCAGGACAAGAAACAAATTTTAAAACTTTCAAAAAGCGACCGTAATTTACGCAGCAAGCTTTTCACAATCAATTATCTTACGTCTGAGGGTGTGATATAGCACAGGAATAAAACTTCTTTTCTTTACCTTAAATTTGCCTGTTGCAGGCAAATTAGATTAAGGTGAATTAATTTGACGGTTGGTGATAGTAAAAAACTGATACCAATTTCCAGCGAATTTTGACATCTGAATCTTGAGCGATTTTTCTCAGACAAAACAAATTAAACAAATAAGTTGTTGTGTTCAATTTGGTCGAATCACGATGAGATGTGTTTGCAAGCGGTTTTTTCGTGACAGTTGTTTAATTTCTAGAAGGCAAAAATTCAATAAATAAAAGACTTTTAAATTCAATTAGTTTTTCAATAAATCCTGCTTTTCTACGTTGATGATTTAAATGGTCCTCAGAGACTGTTTGGCTATAGGCAAGAGGCCTGTTTTCCAAGACAAGTTATATAGGACAGGTGAATAATTATACTCTTCTATTTTTGCATACTTTAAAAATTGATAACTAAAAGATACTTGTAATTTTTTGCCTGAACTAAGGGATTTTCAAGTTGAATCACTGAGTTGCTTGATTACTCAACACTCTCTAAGTTGGTCTCGATACTGGTTTTTTGCGCTTATTGAAATGTTGCATCTGAAATCTATAAATAAATGTAGTAGCGATGTAACAGATCCGGTGTGAAACAGGTTAAATAATTTGAAATTAAACATGCTATAGGGTGCTGACTATTTTTCAGAGAAATGGCTGTTATACATTAATGTCGTGAGTTAATAGTCTTAAATTGTAACTGAAGTTCTTGTAAACATTTTTCAATTATTGCCTTTTTCTTCAATCAGTCAGCATTTTTATTTTTAACTTTTGGGGGCGTAGGTTTTAATTTTGTAGGAGAAGAAAGTCAAGGTGAGCTATTATTGAATTGATGCCTATGAAGACTTCAAAATTGTATATCTATGAGTGGATTAAGAATATACAGCCAATCTAAATACTTTTTAACTAATTAATTGAACAAGAATTTTCAGCTGTGAATAAATACAGACTCGATTTTCAACTAAGACAAAATTCCTATCAACTCTGCGAAGAAAGCAATTAATTGTGCTAACCGTAATTTTCATCAGAAACAAAGCGAGCGGGCAAATATTCGCTGAACAGGTTATCTGAAATACTTATTAAAGATGTATAAACTGAAAGCAAACCTTCTTTAGCAAGTCACCCTGATCTTAGTTTATTATCAGGTTCTCTTAAGACTATTGTGGGATATTTTGAATTTTTGCATTGTTTGCCTGTTTATAGGCTATTCGCTTTGTGCATGGCGCCCAGGACTGTTACGAGAACTGGCGTGTTTCAACGCAAGTTGGTGAATGGAAATTTGCCAATTTCATTTGGCTTTATTTAAGTCTTAAGAGGCTTTGTTACAGGTCAATGTAAGACTGCACAACTATCATCATATATAGCTCATTGCTTCTTGGTAGACTTTCTATGGCTGCGCAATGTTCACAGGTGAAAGAGAAAATGGAACAAAAAATAACTTCAAAGGGAATAATAATTCGACCACTTGAATGCTGCGGAGATATTCAGCTGAATGGTTATAGAACATTTTTCCACTTTATTTAATCAGTAACACTGCGTATTTAAGCTACAGTTTTCTATGTAAGTTTTGTTTGTAGGTTTCTAATTTGTTAACATATCTGATTCTACATAGTATGGAGGAAACTGGCTCAATTCTATCAGTTCAGACAGCTTTGTTGGAGTGGTAACAATGGTTCCACCTGCAGATTCCAACTGTGACACATATTATGTATTACCCGCTATTTCGAAAACAATTCAGCAATTCAAATTAGGATTAATTTATTTTCTTAAACCTGAAAATGAGTTTATTAATGGCTTGTCTTCCAGGAATACACCCTTCTTTTAAGCAACTGCTGTTCTGGCTAGCCACAGAGTATGAAATACGTGCTAAAAGATTATCATAAATAACGCAAAAAATTTCAGGCCATTTTTTCGCCCCCGTTTGGTGCCAAAAAACGACTTGATATTGCTGCATCTTCCCACTAAAAACAATTGTCTGCATCTTTATACTAGCAATTTTCCTCTGCGGTTACTATTATTAAACCGTAACTCGAAACGGTAATGACTTTTTTAGACTTTCCTGTTTAAAGGTTTTTTGGAAGTTCCAAGTCCAACTATTATTTTGTCGTGAAAGTGGATTGGCCGCCTAAAGCGAGGAAAAATATAAATTTTCTGACCTATTAATGACCGTTTAAAATTATCTCGATGGCAATCGCTTCACTAATGTAGAAAACATTGGTAACGGTTTGTTATTTGCAATTACCCCTCCAGAAGCGCCGCTGAAGGTATGTTCAAGTTATAGTTGTTTTTATTCCGCATATAGAGGACATTCTACAAGCGTAACTTATAACGACTTTTTGTATTCATTTCAGGTGAGATTTCAAGTCTGCTTAGGCCCTGATTCCCAATCGAAACGCTGCCTAAGGAGACATTCATTCAAGGGTTATAATTGTAGTCTCTTAGAAAAGCAGCCATGAGTTCAAACTCATCGGCCTCAACGGAAAACTCCACTCAAGAATCGCACGAAAGCTATGATGTCAACGTATACACGAAGGCTTTGAAGCTTACTCTATACGCCGTCATCTTCCTTGTTAGCGCCATTGGAAATATACTTGTTTGCATCGTTATCATGAAAAGAAGAAAAATGAAGACGGTCACCAACTATTTCATTCTTAATCTGGCTTTCGCAGATTTGACTCTAACGTTAATTTGCATCCCATTCGACATCCCAGTGCAAGAAATGAACTACAAGTGGCCGTATGGGTCCTTTATGTGTAAAATTCTGTACCCTTTGCAGACAATGTCGCTGTTTGCATCTGTCTTTACTTTGACCGCTGTTAGTTTAACACGCTATTGGGCCATATTGTATCCCCTTCGTCGGCAACTCAGCACTACCAATGCAAAATGGCTGATCGTAATTATCTGGCTGTTATCGATAGTCCCAGTGTCTCCTTACATCAGTGTCCTCAGAATTGGAAATACAACAGGAGTATGTGATGAATTTTGGAGTAGTAACAACGATCGAAAGATTTACACAGTGGTGCTCTTTGTTGCTGAGTATATCATACCTCTTAGCATTATCGCAGCAGCGTATACAAGCATTGGCAGAGAATTAGGCAAGAAAAACAAAACTGGTCTTGAAAACAAGTTTCTTCAAAACGCACAAAGCGAGGAGGCATCAAAAGTAATTCGAATGCTTATTGCAGTGACCATTCTTTTCGCTGTGTGCGTACTCCCTACGAACATTATGTGGCTCTGGTTGGATTTTGGAAATGCCGAAGAACAATTTGCCCACTTTTGGGAACTAGTTGCATTTTGCAACATACTGACATTTGCTAACAGTGCCGCAAATCCAGTTTGCTATACTATTACCAATATGAATTACCGCAAGGAGATTCTGAACCTTTTGAGAAGGTGCTTTATGAACCGAAACAAACGCGCTCTACAATCAGATGAGATAGAAATGCTTGATACTTCAAGAGATCTGACCCGTCAAAGATCAACAGCTTACACAGACACCTAGGATCGTGGCTAAAAACGTCCTGGGAAACATAGTTGTGCGATGTTTTTTCGGGCTCTAAATTACTCTTCTGACTTACACATGGGGCCCTACTGAACTGACAACTAGGTCTCTGCAACTGAGTTTTGTAGGCGTCTTAGGGCCTAAATCCAAGATTTTTAAATTTTATTTTACCTTCCATTGTAAGGCAATATTTAAATGTGTCTTTCGATGGGCAAAAATCATCCTGTGATTTAAGCAGTTACAGTGAAGGGAAGTATCAAGAACGGTTATCTGAGAAGAGCGAAACTCATTATGCTTGTGCAATATGACTAGCCGACTGTTTTACGGTTGAAAACCAAAAACTAAACATTCATCAATATTGAAGAATATCCTTAATCCCTGTTCTTAATTTTCATTTGCTTGTTCAGTTTTCGAAAATATAGTGTGAGGGCAAATAATCCTATGAGCAAATATAACTTATCTTTAATTGATCAAATATCAACTGAAGATAACTGGGGGACATCGTGTAGTAATTGCCGAAACACCTTTAAAATCTTCCTTAAAGTATTTTAAACCGCCATCTAATAATAATAATAATAATAATAATAATAATAATAATAATAATAATAATAAGAAGAAGAAGAAGAAGAAGAAAAGCTTACCACAACAATAGGATTTGCTAATGACATTTTTACCATAGAGCATAAGAAAATTTTCTAGACAAGTTAAGTTATATCGTTTCCCATTTAATCGTTTTGGTCCTGAACTGAACTGAAAAATGACAAAAGAATTAAACGAATGCCAGCAAAAATAGGACAGCTAAGTAGGGGGCCATTAGTGTCCCTCAATATTTTATCAATAATAACGGATAGGTACCAATGATTCAAAAGAAGCTAGGATACAATTTCGGTAGTAATTATCAGAAGAGGAAGTGAAATGGACAATGTAATATATGTAATATTTTAAATTTGTTTGTGTTATTGTATTTATACACTACCCCGGGCATTTTTATATCCGTAAATTAAAAATCACTCGTTCATCTTTAAGAACCATCATCTAACTCCTAATTTTTAAGTTCCGTATTTTACGTAATGTTCCATTCGACTGAAAATTTAAAACTTACAAAAAATAAAGAATAATACTTAGAAGCTAAAAGACATGCAGTTTTCTTGGTTTGCTCTCTATGACGCCAACGCTTTAGTGGGATGCTCCAGGCCATTTCTTTACCTCCTTTCGATTGTTTTACTTTTTTTTTTTTTTATCATCAGTGCTTTGAAAATACATTATGGCTGGTAGACGTCGAACGCGTGCAAAATGCTTCACGGAAGAAAATAACCTTGAGGTTTAAACAAGAATCAACAAAGAACCTTCTCAAGAGTGAAAGCGTGGAATTTGAGCGATTTGAGATGCCGTTTTTTAACGCCGCGTTTGAGGTCATTTAAGTGATTCGCTCGTCATGTTGTCACGATTTCCCGGCTTGGGCTCGTGTCAGTGCGCTATCCGAAAAATTTTAATAAGATGCTACGATTTGCGTAAGCTGCTTTCGCCTCTTTGTGTTCATCAGAATAAAATCGGAAAAAGATTGTTAAGTGTAGAGAGGGCATCATTTAGCTCATTAGCGTCCAAAGCAAAAATATTGATATGTATAATGGTTACGTTTTTAAAGTCTGGTGATTTTTTATTCGGAATATTAATATCCAACAAATCCAAACTGCAAGCAAGATAAATCAACAAATCTCGTTATTTTTTTTCTATAAACCTACGTTCCGTGGTCTGCTAGAGAGCAGTCCATTAGGTGCTCGGTCATTTATAGCCATAGCACTAGACGTGTTAATAGTCTCGCTTGCGTAAGCAGCGAGACGCATAATCTGCAAGCCGTTTTGCTTCGTATTTAGGACACAAAAGGGAGGCCATGGTCCTAGGTGTTCCTAGCGGAGACCTTGGAAACTGGGAATAAGACTCGTTGCCTGACCGAAGCCACCCATGTTTCGCGAAGAAAGCTTAGGAAAGCACTAATGCGATTGAGAGCTTTTCTTGAACGATTCGGTCCACGAATTCTATCGCTTGAAAGAGTTAAATAAATAACTTTGGAACAAGTGAAAACTTCAGTGGTCGAAAAAAAAGAATAATCTTAATTAGCAAAGGCTAACTGGTGGGGTGTTGAAAAACTTTCATTGTATGCAAATGAGTCTTGTGATGAGCTTGCGGTTTATTTTCAGCGATGATTAAAATGAAGCGTCATGTTCTCATCACGTTTCTTTCGAATAGAGGCCCTTGAATTTTCGTGTAATTATACACGCGTACAGGCAGCGACCGCAGACGTATTTACGGTCATCGTAAACACGCTTTTAAAATCAGTTGAGAAACAAAGTAAATATCCTAAAGAATACTCGACCGTCGATAAAGTAGGAAGTGAAGAACCTTTAACGAGTAAATCCTGTTTCGTGTAGAGTTAATGGCTTCCTCATTTCTTATCTTATCTCCAAGCAAGCGAGACTCGCACTTATATCAAGAGTGTTCTTGTGTTTAGAAAGCTTAGCCTCTGGGCGTTCTCTCTTGTCCGTTTGTCCGCGAGTCTCTCTCAGTGACGTCACAGCTCACCGTAGAGTCCAGTTAACCGAGCCGAAAACGCCCAGCGACCAGGCTGATGTTAAGAATATTCAATTAACCTCGCATTGTAGACCATGAATAGAAGATGGCCAAATTTTTGACATCTGTCTGCTTCAGGCTTGATTTCATGGGAAAGAATTAAAATTTAAGCCAAGCAAATTTTGACTAGATTTCTACAGAATTTGGCTTGTAAATATCTTTTTTCGTAAGAAATCATCATGATCATGATCGAGGTACTACTCGACTGTCTGATCTGTCAACGTAAGAAGAAAATAAGATTAATTTTGATACATCTTAATTCATTTTTTGATGGATTATTTAATAGCGTGCAGCAGAAAACTTTTATTAATCTCAATCTTTCCGGCTTCACGAGACAAACTGGTCAAGTCATTGAATACAAATCAATAACGTAACTATTTGAAACAAAGAAATAAGTAATCATTGGTACCTGAAATTGAAAGTGGGTCTGACTAATATTAATCATTTAAGTGTATATTATTAGAACATCCCATCAAGTGGTTAACAGAATATATTTAACATATATAACAGAATATATTTTTGAGGCCTCAATTTACCTTGAGTGCACCACAATGAAAATAATTTTTTTTTTGACGAAAAAACCCAAGCAAAATCCTTGGTTCGTGACCTCGCAAATTTATGTTACTATCAATACGTATAGGATAGCTTCCTTTTCAACCAAGGTTTCGTTATGAAAATCCTCAAGTAATTACTAATCACTTTCAAAACATAAGAAGACGCGGTTTTTAATTTGGCATCGGCACATGTTTCAGCAGGAAAGTCTTTCTTCTTCAGAGATAATCACAAGGAATTGATGAAATGGTTTATTTTCAATATCCCATGCAATAGAATCAGTGTTTTTTAAAACTATAAAAGTGTAACTGCGGGCGTTGAAGAAAGTAGACGCAATGTTTATGTTAAGGTAAAAACCTTCGTCTTAATTTGACAACTATTGGGGCCCGCTGCTGTCTAGACCTTCTGGAAACTAAATTATTATAAGCGCTTTTGATCATTTTAATGTTAAAAGGCGCTATATTAAGTTTTAAATATTATAATTATTACTATGTGCTCTTAAGACATCATGAATGACATTGGCATTGACAAAAAGCAGCAACTTTATATAATCAAGAAAATGATAAATATAGCCATTAGAGCAACATATTACATCTTTTGTTGTAGAAATAGGACTTGGGATAGCCCAGCCTTAATGAAATTTTGATTTCTTTATTTTTTTTTTTTTTTAATAATCCAATCTCAAGCAGCATTTGTAAATTGCCTATGCGTAGCGAGATTTACAATTGTACATTCTAAAACACAAATAAAGTTTCCATTATTATCATACAGTTATCATTTAAACATTAATTAAATTTTATTTTGCTTTTGAACTGTTACGAAATTAACTTTGAAAGTGACGTTTTCGCTGTCTTGGCGCCGTCTTGCTTGGTTGTTTACTGACTCCCTTTTTGGCAAGATGGGTAACGTGCATGAAAGATGCTCTTATCCTTTTATAGTAACAGAGGCCGGGATTATATCAGAGACCTTGCTTTGTCAATTGGAAACGCCGTTTACGAAAGGGAAATAGACGTACACGAATAGCCCTAGTCGTCGGAGTCGGCCTGGGCAAAGTGTTTCAAAGTTCAAGGGCGATTAGCCCAATAGACCTCTTTAGCTTGTATGTTATTGTTTTTTTTTTTTCCAATAAAGGTCTCAGGGAAATTTGCCGCTTTGACTTTTCGTAATTAAATGTCTTTTCATAAATTATGCGTAATATTGTTGGTTTTCACATGACGTCACTAACATTCAAAATAAAAAACTATCGATCCTACCTGAATTTTACTTTCACGATGCATTAGAGCAGTTGAAAACTAATTTTCGTACAAATTTTTGCTTCAAAAGGGTTCTTGGTTTTGTGATAGAGTACGCTTGAATTTGTAAGCTTTTGCGTGACGCGGCATTTACATGACGGCCAAGGGAGCTGTCATGTAGGTTAAAAAAATGACTTATTTCAGAAAATTTTGCTATCTAAGCAGTTCATGTATTAGAAAAAGTATTACTTTAATGTTTATGAGTTTCTCGAAGAATAAATTCACGCTTTTGTAGCAAAACTCGGCAACAGATGTTTCTGTTGGTTGCCGTCCTCCATGTTGGAGCTCATCCAGGTGAGCACCAGCATGGCGTCTCCATACAAATCTCTATAAGTTTGGGTAAAACATTTCTTCGGACATCTCGTATACGAAATATTCCTCTCACCTGAATCTTGGCGAGGGTCTTTGTATATGTACCTCCTTTCATTCTGGACTTTATCTATTGAACGCTTTTGATTTTTATTTTGATCTATTTTGAATGGCGTGACACTGAAAACCAGCAATATGCACAGAAATAACGCCAAATTTGAATGAAACAGTTCTAGCATTTACCACATGACCTGGAATACACTGGAAAAACAAAACATACAAACTAAGGGGCCGAACGTTTGACTTTTGAGGGGGGTATGGCTGACTTCAGAAAAAAAATATTCTGCAGATTGATTTCAAGGAGAAAAAATTCTTGCAAGGAAGTACCTGGTGAAAAAAAAATTCCTACACTGAAAAAATATATCTTTCATGGAGTATAATGCTGGAAAAAAATCTTACTCCTTTGTATGTCAGGAAAAAAATTCTATCTCCAGCGGTTTGGAAAAAACGTCTTACCCAAATCAAATCACTCATACCCCTCCTCAAAAAGTCAAATGGTCGGCCCCTAAATAGGTAACATTCTAGGGCCTGCTGTTGGGAACTTTTATCTATACTTTACCTATACCTATATCTGTTAATAATATCTATACCTATACTTATTAAATAAATATAACTTTTTTAAAGTTACTCCAGGTGTTTCTCATTATAATGCATTTTTCCTTGCTGTCCTTATCACCATAACGACGTTGCCAGACGTCAAGACGCTGAGAAATAAATTCCAATTTGGAATGTTTCAAGCTAAACTGTTGATAGGGGATCTCTGAAACTCAGTGTGGTGCTGCTGGTTAAGATTTAAACTGTATATTAAACTAAGGAGCTGTTTCACAACGTTTATTAAAATTCAAACAGTGGGAAATGTCATCAAATTGAGATAAACATGAAAATTGCCGCTCAAAACGTTAACAGAAAGTATAAATGACGCAGCAAACACAAAAGAAGGCACCATTGGACAAACTTGAAGAAGATTGAAACTGACTGCAATTGTGGTTTTTTCTTTTATTCAGTTGAATGGTTATAGAACACTTCCCTCTTTATTTAATCAGTAACATTGCGTATTTAAGCTACTGACAGTTTTCTATGCAAGTTTTGTTTGTAGGTTTCTAATTTGTTAACATATCTGATTCTACATAGTATGCAGGAAACTGGCTCAATTCTGTCAGTTCAACAGCTTTGTTGGAGTGGTAACAATGGTTCTACCTGCAGATTCCAACTGTGACATGCACATAGTATGTATCAGGGGCGTAGCATGGGATTTTAAAGATGTACGCTCGAGAATAAATGTTTCGTAAGCGCCGAAGGCGCTTGCAACTAGGGGGATCTGGGGGCATGCTCCCCAGAAAATTTTGAAATTTAGGGTCTCGGAAATGCCATCTCATGGTTTTTCTGCGGGGCATTTTCAATAAATAATGCGGCAAAAATGCAGTAGAAAGTTGTTTATTTTAACCATTTCCCTAGTGTTTTCTGTAAGCTACAGTGTTCCGAAAAGAAAAAAAAAATACAAAAACAATGAAGACAGGTCACAAGCAAAGGGCGAGGCGTCGACCCTTAAGACGGGCAAACTCCGTTACCAACCGGCTGTCAATATCCACGTTCTTATGTTTATGTCTCTTCATGCTACTGAAGCTACGTTCTGCAGTGCATGTCGACACAGGATAAGTTAACAATGTTACGAGAGCAACATATACACCGGGATAAAATTGGAAGTTTGCGTGGTCAAGAGTCTCAACCAAAGTCTGCAGCGTCACATTCGGATCCATGCCACTCCATTTGTGCTTCCATCTTGTGACTTCGGTTTTAAACTCATCCTCAGAGATTTCTGCACGTTGAACTGTTGAACTGAACTTCTACACGTTGTTCAGTTGTCTTGTTAATTACGTTGAAGTAATCGTGTATCGATTTTCGAGCCATATGTGTGTACTTTGTGTCACGAAACACACGAAAACACTACAGAAGCCAGTGATCACGCTCCTCAAGTCGCAGAGATATTCATAGGATTCTCTAACAGTTTAATTTCTTAGGAAAATCAATCACTGGGGCTTCACTGTTTGACGTCACAAGTATATTCCTAATCTCCGTTGACGGGAAATACGTTTTGTTCTGAAGCCACACGTCATGGCATAGTAACCTCTCCTTCAAGAATACCTGCGGGGCTGAGAAAACTGGTGAGGCTGGCTGACCTTGAGGGAGGGATACACGAAGCGTTTTTCCTATTTTTGCTTACCACTCAAATGCATTTTGCCATTATTAGTGGCCAGCACTGAATGATTAATGCTCGGATAATGGCAATTCTAATAAAAAACGCCAGCATAATGTGAAAATATGAAATTATTAGCCAGCAAATTTAATGAGACAAAATTTTTTCTCAGATCTCAGCTGTACGCACGGGCGTACGAGCGTATATGGACGCTACGCCCCTGTGTATTACCTGCTATATGTTTCGAAAACAATTTAGCAATTTAAATTAGGGTTAATTTATTTTCTTAAACCTGAAAATGAGTTTATTAATGGATTGTCTTCCAGCAATTGCTGTTCTGACTAGTCACAGAGTATGAAATACGTGCCAAAAGATTAATCATAAATAACGCAAAAATTTCAGGCCATTTTTTCGCCCCCGTTTGGTGCCAAAAAACAACTTGATATTGCTGCATCTTTCCACTAAAGACAATTGTCTGCATCTTTATGCTAGCAATTTTCCTCTGCCGTTACTGTTATTGAAACACCGTAACTCGAAGCGTAATGACTTCTTTTAGACTTTTGTGTTTAAAGGTTTTTTGAAAGTTCCAAATCCAACTATTATTTTGCCGTGAAATTGCGTTGGCCGCCTAAAGCGAGGAAAAATATAGATTTTCTGACCTACTAATGGCCGTTTAAAATTTCTCGATGGGAGTCGCTTCACTGTTACAAATATAGAAAACATTGGTAACGGTTTGTTATTTGCGATTACCGCTCCAGAAGCGCCGCTTAAAGTATAAGTTATAGTTGTTTTTATTCCGTACATAGAGGACCTTCTACAAGCGTAACTTATAACGACTTTTTGTATTCATTTCAGTTGAGATTTCAAGTCTGCTTAGGCCCTGATTCCCAATCGAAACGCTGCCTAAGGCGATATTCATATATTCAAGGGTTATAATAAAAGTCCCTTATAAGAGCAGCCATGAGTTCAAACTCTACTTTAAGTAACATATTCTCAAATTTTACAACAGCAGAAGATTCTTCGACCTCAACGGAAAACTCCACACAAGAATCGCACGAAAGCAATGTCAACGTTTTCACGAAGGCTTTAAAGCTTACTCTATACGCCGTCATCTTCCTTGTTAGCGCCATTGGAAATATACTTGTTTGCATCGTTTTCATGAAAAGAACAAAAATGAAGACAGTCAGCAACTATTTCATTCTTAATCTGGCTTTCGCAGATTTGACCCTAACGTTAATTTGCATCCCATTCGACATCCCAGTGCAAGAAATGAACTACAAGTGGCCGTATGGGTCCTTTATGTGTAATATTCTGTACCCTTTGCAGACAATGTCGCTGTTTGCATCTGTCTTTACTTTGACCGCTGTTAGTTTAACACGCTATTGGGCCATATTGTATCCACTTCGTCGGCAACTCAGCACTACCAATGCAAAATGGCTGATGGTAATTATCTGGCTGTTATCGATAGTCCCAGTTTCTCCTTACATCAGTGTCCTCAGAATTGGAAAGACAGGATCATGTGATGAATATTGGAGTAGTGACAACGATCGAAAGATTTACACAGTGGTGCTCTTTGTTGCTGAGTATGTCATACCTCTTAACATCATCGCAGCAGCGTATACAAGCATTCGCAGAGAATTACGCAAGAAAAAACAAAACTGGTCTTGAAAACAAGTTTCTTCAAAACGCACAAAGCGAGGAGGTATCAAAAGTAATTCGAATGCTTATTGCGGTGACCATTCTTTTCGCTGTGTGCGTACTCCCTACGAACATTATGTGGCTCTGGTTGGATTTTGGAAATGCCGAAGAACAATTTGCCCACTTTTGGGAAATAGTTGCATTTTGCAACATATCGACATTTGCTAACAGTGCCGCAAATCCAGTTTGCTATACTATTACCAATATGAATTACCGCAAGGAGATTCTGAACCTTTTGAGAAGGTGCTTTATGAACCGAAACAAACTCGCTCTACAATCCGATCACCCGTGAAAGATCAACAGCTTACACAGACGCCTAGGATCATGGCTTTATTATAAAGGAAACTTTCAGGGAAACATAGTTGTGCAATGTTTTTTCGGGCTCTAAATTACTCTTCTGACTTACACATGGGGCCCTACTGAACTGACAACTAGGTCGCTGCAACTGAGTTTTGTAGGTGTCTTTAGGGGCTAAATCCAAGATTGTGAGGAAATATTTAAATGTGTCTTTCGATCTGCAAAAATTATCCTGAGATTGAAGCAGTTACAGTGAATGGAAGTATCAGGAACAATTATGCTTGTGCAATATGGCTGACCAACTGTTTTACGGTTGAAAACCAAAGACTAAACATTCATCAATATTGAAGAATATCCTTAATACCTGTTCTCAATTTTCATTTGCTTGTTCAGTTTTGGAAAATATAGTGTGAGGGCAAATAATCCCATGGGAAAATATAACTTATCTTTAATTGATCCAATATCAACTAAAGATAACTTGGGGACATAGTAATTGCCGCAACACCTTTAAAATCTTCGTTAAAGTATTGTAAACCGCCAGCTAATGACAAGAAGAAGAAGAAGAAGAAAGAAGAAGAAGAAGAAGGAGGAGGAGGAGGAGGAGGAGGAGGAGGAGAAGAAGAAGAAGAAGAAGAAGAAGAAGAAGAAAAGCTTACCACAACAATAGGACTTTGCTAATGACTTTTTTTCCACAGAGCATTCCAACATGTTCTAGACATGTTAAGTTATATCGTTTCCCATTTAATCTTTTTGGTCTAACTGGATTGAAAAATGATAAAAGAATTAAACGAATGCCAGCAAAAATGGGACAGTTAAGTAGGGGGCCATTAGTGTCCCTCAACATTTTATCAATAATAACGGATAGGTACCAATGATTCAATAGGTGCTAGGATACAATTTCGGTAGTTATTATCAGAAGAGGCAGTGTAATGGACAATGTAATATAAATTATGTAATAATTGGCAAGCTACGAGGAAACGTAACACGACTCGACAAACCAAAATAAAGCTATCACTATGTATACATATATGCTGAACTGCTGGGAGCTGCTTTGCATTTCTTCCAATTCGTCAGTTGAAAACGATAGTCAACCTGCAAAAACATTTTTCTACAATGTCTACAGAATATCGTATCTCAGACCTGGTAGTCACACAACTCATAAGACTCACAGTGGTCAATGGTATTGCAGTGAGTGAATCGAAGCCTTCACGTGTTGACTTAAGTCTATTTAGCCGAGCTATTTTCCAAAGCGTTCTTGACTGCTCCAGCTGTTAGTTAAACGTGCCCTTATTTATTCGATATGGCCGGGTCCAGACGACCGTGGTTATCTCGAAGGCTTTTCCTTCAGTTTCATCACTTTTGAACTAACTGGGCTAAGTTAAGTTTATAATCTCTGTTTGCTAAGAAAAAGGAATTTAGCAGTCGCTTTTTAACTGCCGCAAATCTTACAGTTCTAGATAAATTTTATTTATAGTTAATGCCCATATTGTCAGTACAGTTTACACTGAGTTTAAAATAAAAAAAGATCGGGGAAATGACCTAGAAAGGCCCAACGTTTGCAAATAAGGGTTTGTTGCATTTATGTGACCGGCACAGTAACGTTGGGCCCCTTCGTTTGAATTTCGGTTGGTGCATTCCAACTAGGCGAGTTGAAGGCGACCATCGAGTAATGTCCATGAGTAGGAGAAGAACTTGTTCGCAACCGGCCACATCTTCTTAGAGTATTAATACTACCAACAAATAATAAAGATGTATAGAAGAAACGCTCCTTACCATCCGTTCCACCCCTTAAAATCTAATTATGCAAAGATTCATTGTAAAGTCTGCGTAACTTTAGCACACTTAGGATTAAACAAATGAAAAATAATAGTTTCAGATTCCCTTGACTAACTTTTTGACAAGTGTCAAACTCCGCCGCAAACAATCAATGTTGACAGCTTTGACAAAGCCACCGTCTTTTGAGTTTGACTAAACAAATTTTGTTTTACTTGCTGATTCTTTTGTAGTCATAATCGACGTAAATAAAGCCAGAGCCTTATTTCTTATCCCAGCTACTGTAGTCATTTTTTCGAGCTTTATATGGCATCTTAAATTTCCTTTTTCGTCAGAGATAATAAAGAGCCTGCCGTTAGATCCCTTCTTTTCCAGGTTCTCAAGTATGTGCGTAGGTACTTGAAAATCTGTGGAATATCGAGCCTCAATGTCATCCTCATGAAAAGATACCAAACCATTGATAACACGGGTTTTTAACAATAGCAAGTCATTGTCAGCCATCTCTATTCCTTCGTCACCGACGTAAACTAACTGCTGGTTATGACTTGGGACCAGCATGATTTTAACCCTTGTCTCTTGGACGTGTTTATGTCTTTGTAGAAGATGTTGAATAATGTCTTCAGGGATTTCCTGGAATTCTTCGCTAAGAAATTCAACATCTCTTGGTTTGAGTGATATATGGCCATAGCGTAGTTTGCTTTTAAAGACCAATTTTCCTATCAAACGATTTTGCTTGGTATTATCGGTTGGAATTGTAACAGGAAAGGACTCTCGTTGCTGCTGCAGCTTCTCATTTTTCCACCCATATCCCAGTTTTCTTTCTGGTGGCTGTTCCAAGTGACGTCGTTGATCAAAGGAATGTAACGGGATATTGGTTTGTCCTAGAGCACTCGGTGGCATCCCAAACGACACGACCTGGGCGGGATTCAGAAGCTGCACCAAGACATCAGTGTGTACCGCTAGTCTCCCATTCTTCATCCAAGCTACGAATCCTTTGTCCTTTTCCATGACCGCACGGTTTATTGTTTGAAAGATTATCTCTTCGTCAGTCTTACGCAAATATAGGCTACCGCAGACGAATACAACGACCCTGATAGCTAATGAGAAAAGAAGTAAAACATAACACAAGTAAGAGGGTATTTTGTAATAACGGCTAACATAAATACAATGAGAAATTAGAAGACCCGTCGCGAAACCTTTGTGTTATCCGTGCGTGGGCACCAATTCTAACCACTTAGCTGCAATCTATTCTGCGGCGACAGATATTTTTAAGTCATATGAAGTTTCCTCAATTAAGACATCTGCTCGATCTGGAGCCCCCGGCACAGGGATCAATACAGGGTACAGTCCCCATTTATTGATAATACATATGAACGACCTTCCGTTTCACATAGATGAAACTCAATGCTGTTAATTAAGATACGACGGTTATAAAGTCAAAACCTCTGACATTCAGCCTATAGCTCTTTGGAATGTTGAAAATAAAATGGTTCTAAATCAAGAAGGTAAGTAAGGAAGTAAGGTTATGATAAGTTATTGTGGCGTCATCAAATAAAATATCAAAGTTTCCAGGACTCATCTCAGTTTAATCATCAGTTATTCTTAATTTGAAACTGAGTACCATTAGCCTGCGTAGCAAGCGTTTCCGTTTGGTTTCGGAGCAAAAAAATACCGTGGAAGGGGATTTTCGGTTTCGATCGCGCGAGAAATGAAACGAGAACCAAAAAATGAAAGAGGGGGGAGGGGGAGGGAAAGGAAGGAAACGCTTGTAGACACACCCCTCGATTTTGAAAACCTGCGTTCGCCAGCGAACGCAGCGCCTGATTGGCTCGGCTAGTCAAACAATATTGACATGTGTCGATCAAAGGTTTCAATTGTTTCATACTGAGAGGTGATGTATGGTACGTGACACGCATCTTATTTCCTGCGGTTGTTGTTTATTCTGGTCGGCAAGATTTACCCTCCAAAGAAGGAGCATTTTCTTTAACTTCTTTTGAAACGCAAAGCTCTTCTTGCGACTATATAAGGGTTTCAGGTCGTTTAATTTATTCTCCAAAGTGTCTCCTGGATCTGAATGACTAAAAGCGATTTTCTTTTGTCTGGGAATGCGATGGTTTCCTGCAATGTTTTGTCATGCTGGGCCCAGCTCGTTCGTGTTTTTTTTTTTGCAGGACATTAAATTCTCTCGGATAGTGACTTACAGATAAAAAACAAAACTGAAGCTACATCAACTATAGAGAACTGCATTGCGACTCAGACAAAATTGCTGATTAGTTCTCCACGCTAACGTCATCAGCTGCCGGGTTAGCTTTGTTCTTAGATGCTTTTACAAGAGTACTCTACAGTCTCAGTCAAAATGGTTGGGACACTGTAAGATCTCCTTGTCCCCTCAATGTTGGTGTACAAGATTTGGTGACCGAACCGCGATAAACAACTTTGAGAGGGACGAGGGGAGCACGAGAAGGGAAAAAACAGCGTTTGGTTAAAGTGTCCCAACTATTTTTGTCTGAGACTGTGTCGGGGAGGAAATTGAAAGCGTGTTGACAGATACGGAGGTTAATCTGTAGGTCGGTCACAAGCGACGGCCTTTTGGTTAGTTGGGCGTCCATTGTGTTTCGCGAACGTTTCTATAGCAGTGAACTAATTTATTTGGGCATAACAACATAACACAAAGAATGACCAGTTCGCAGAAATTTCTTGGACAGAGTAGAGTATTGGAAAATAAAAAGAATGGAGTGTGCACTAAACCGTAGACAAATAGCTTTCAAGTGGCCGATTGAGAGCGTGACAATATAGCACGTGCATGCTATCTACGTAAGATTCAGGGTTTCCATGTACGGAGAGGCGCTCGAATGTGCCACATTTCTAGAAAAAATGTGTGCCGAATAATAGAGAAGGCCTCTTTGCCAAGAAAGAGTGTAGGGACAAGGTTCAAAGGGACGCCTTTCTAACTTAAGGGCAAGAGGAGAAAGACAGCTGAAAGAGCCATAAAGCGATTTCGAGAGAAAGGAGGAAACTTTTCCTCCAGTTTGGAGGAAAATGCAGCAAGCCAGGATTATTCCCAAGACGCATCAGCGAGAACAGTATCCCGCTTTCTAAATTTCTAAAGATACTATTGACTACAAGCGCGTAAAAGGGTGTCCAACAATAGTGTAACTGTTTGGTCCGACGCCAAAAAGTTTCTTAAAGATATTCCAGCAGGCTACTGCTGTGAAATCGACAACTTTTATAAGTTGTTTACAACATATGTTAATTTAACCTTGTGCCAAATGGTGACATCGGTTCTCATTCTTTACCCCAAATATACGCCTTCCTGAATAGCTCTAAAACAAACTACTGTGCCATAAATGTGAGACTTGAGGTACAAAACATGAATCATATCAAACCAGGACACTACCTGCCCTTAAAACCTCAAAAAAGCGTTATACTCGACGTGTACACGGGTCACCGTACATTAATTCAATTAAGATATTTATAAGTTTCTTTCAGGGAACAATCGTGTCACCATGATCAAAGTTTTAATGACTTGTCTTACATGGATCAAGGCGCTATAAACCTTGGTTATTTCAATTAAGTGTGAAAGTACCTTATCCTTTTCTTTCTTAATCCATTATATATAACAGAGAGGTCTTAGAAAACGCTCTGGATAGTATGGTGACCCGTTATGGTGACCCGTCCAATCGTGTCTCCACCGGTACAATATATTAGCGGCAAGATACACAGCCTGCGAAATGATGCGCGCAGTTTTGACTCATCCGTTGTTCACTCTTTAAACGCAATACGTAGAAAGCGTTTTTAATACCTTGGAATGTTGTAATTAAAGAAACAAAGACTTCTTTCCACTATTGATTGTGTTCTCTCTTTCGATCCGTGAAATCTCTAATGTTTTTCCAGAAAAAATGGCTCCGAAACGTGCATATACCTGCCCAGCGATTTCCCCCACTAGAGCCAACGAGGAGTCACATACCTAAAATTCCTCTAAAACACAGTCTCAATCAAAATGGTTGGGACACTTTGGGACCTCCTTGTCCCCTCAATGTTGGTGTACAAGATGTTTGGTGACCGAACCGCGATGGACAACTTTGAGAGGGACGAGGGGAGCACGAGAAGGGAAAAAACAGCGTTTGGTTAAAGTGTCCCAACTATTTTTGTCTGAGACTGTGTCGGGGAGGAAATTGAAAGCGTGTTGACAGATACGGAGGTTAATCTGTAGGTCGGTCACAAGCGACGGCCTTTTGGTTAGTTGGGCGTCCATTGTGTTTCGCGAACGTTTCTATAGCAGTGAACTAATTTATTTGGGCATAACAACATAACACAAAGAATGACCAGTTCGCAGAAATTTCTTGGACAGAGTAGAGTATTGGAAAATAAAAAGAATGGAGTGTGCACTAAACCGTAGACAAATAGCTTTCAAGTGGCCGATTGAGAGCGTGACAATATAGCACGTGCATGCTATCTACGTAAGATTCAGGGTTTCCATGTACGGAGAGGCGCTCGAATGTGCCACATTTCTAGAAAAAATGTGTGCCGAATAATAGAGAAGGCCTCTTTGCCAAGAAAGAGTGTAGGGACAAGGTTCAAAGGGACGCCTTTCTAACTTAAGGGCAAGAGGAGAAAGACAGCTGAAAGAGCCATAAAGCGATTTCGAGAGAAAGGAGGAAACTTTTCCTCCAGTTTGGAGGAAAATGCAGCAAGCCAGGATTATTCCCAAGACGCATCAGCGAGAACAGTATCCCGCTTTCTAAATTTCTAAAGATACTATTGACTACAAGCGCGTAAAAAGGGTGTCCAACAATAGTGTAACTGTTTGGTCCGACGCCAAAAAGTTTCTTAAAGATATTCCAGCAGGCTACTGCTGTGAAATCGACAACTTTTTATAAGTTGTTTACAACATATGTTAATTTAACCTTGTGCCAAATGGTGACATCGGTTCTCATTCTTTACCCCAAATATACGCCTTCCTGAATAGCTCTAAAACAAACTACTGTGCCATAAATGTGAGACTTGAGGTACAAAACATGAATCATATCAAACCAGGACACTACCTGCCCTTAAAACCTCAAAAAAAGCGTTATACTCGACGTGTACACGGGTCACCGTACATTAATTCAATTAAGATATTTATAAGTTTCTTTCAGGGAACAATCGTGTCACCATGATCAAAGTTTTAATGACTTGTCTTACATGGATCAAGGCGCTATAAACCTTGGTTATTTCAATTAAGTGTGAAAGTACCTTATCCTTTTCTTTCTTAATCCATTATATATAACAGAGAGGTCTTAGAAAACGCTCTGGATAGTATGGTGACCCGTTATGGTGACCCGTCCAATCGTGTCTCCACCGGTACAATATATTAGCGGCAAGATACACAGCCTGCGAAATGATGCGCGCAGTTTTGACTCATCCGTTGTTCACTCTTTAAACGCAATACGTAGAAAGCGTTTTTAATACCTTGGAATGTTGTAATTAAAGAAACAAAGACTTCTTTCCACTATTGATTGTCTTCTCTCTTTCGATCCGTGAAATCTCTAATGTTTTTCCAGAAAAAATGGCTCCGAAACGTGCATATACCTGCCCAGCGATTTCCCCCACTAGAGCCAACGAGGAGTCACATACCTAAAATTCCTCTAAAACACAGTCTCAATCAAAATGGTTGGGACACTTTGGGACCTCCTTGTCCCCTCAATGTTGGTGTACAAGATGTTTGGTGACCGAAGCGCGATGGACAACTTTGAGAGGGACGAGGGAAGCACGAGAAGGGAAAGAACAGCGTTTGGTTAAAGTGTCCCAACTATTTTTGTCTGAGGCTGTAGTTATCTGTGCCGTGACGAGAAGGGTAAGCCGTTCTGTCTCGCTGAGCTTTGACCTGCATTGATCGTTCGGATCGTTCGTTTTGGAGCAAACAACGAGGAGCAAGAGTCAAAGACCGCGCGAAAGAGCGGGGAGGGGTTGGGGAAGAAAGGAGGGAAAACCTTGCACACAAACCCCTCGATTTTGAAAACCGCCCCCTTGGTCTGTCATGCCTGAGTTCACGCACCGACATTTGATGCTGTCAGCAGCTGTTGTAATTGACCAATAAAATGTTTGTCCTTCTGTGGAGCGGAAATGAACTTTGAAGGCGCCTGTGTGAAACCAAAATGTATATTTTTTGTATTTTGGAACGCGTGGACGGCGCTAATGGTGAAATCTCAATGAATCCGAACGATCAATGCAGGTCAAAGCTCAGCCAGTCAGAATGGCTTACCCTTCTCGCCACGGAACAGACAACTAGAGTACTCTTGTAAAGCATCTAAGAACAAAGCTAACCCGGCAGCTGATGAAGTTAGCGTGGAGAACCAATCAGCAATTTTGACTGAGTCGCAATGCAGTTCTCTATAGTTGATGTTGTTACGCCGCAAAATGTAACAATTGACGCAAAATGTAACATTAACGCGAAATGTAACAACTTTTGACGAGAAATGTAACGTTAACACGAAATGTAACAACTTTTGACGCAGAATGTTACAACTTTTTAACGCGAAATGTAACAACTTTTTGACGCAAAATGAAACAATATTTTTAACGCGAAATGTAACAAGCAAAATGTTACAGCCTTGAAATAAGCGAGAGACTTGGACATGAGCCTTGTAGATAAAATGCAAATTGTCTGGTGGTTACAAAAACATTTATTTATAAAGTTTTCTTATAATGTCAAATAAACTTACGAAACGTTTTTCGATAATAGTAACTAAATCCTGAAACAGTCGAGGGGTGTTTCGAGGCAAGCGTTTCTTTCCTTCCCCTCCCCCTTCCCTCTCTTTCATTTTTTGGTTCTGGTTTCATTTCTCGCGCGATCAAAACCGAAAACCCCCTTCCAGGGCCTTCCAGGGCCTTCCAGGGTCTTTTTTTGCTCCGAAACCAAACGGAAACGCTTGCTACGCAGGCTAGGGCTACCTAGACAAAGTTGACCAATCGGATTACAAGAAAACAACAATATAACTGCGATAATCTTCCTTTACATAATTCTTCACTCCGCAGTTCACATGTATGATTTTCATATATTCATAACTTCGTCATCATCCTTTCACTGGTTTATAACGAACCAATTCAACGACTTGCTTCCAGTTGCTGTTAGCTTAATTGGTAGATCGCCGCACCGGTTCGCAGAGGTCAAGGATTCGAATCATATCCCGTACAAGCCTGGATTTTTTTTCAGGCTTTCTTGTCGCAACTGCAAAAGTTGCGTATATAACTGCGATGATCTTGTGATCTTCCTTCACATAATTCTTCACTCTGCAGTTCACATATATGATTTTCATATATTCATAACTTAAAATAACAATATATTACGAAAAAGTGGGTTTCGGCAATGTCAGCTCGTAAGAACAAAATGAGTTACTGGAAGCACAAAATTCAATTGCCGGATGAGTAATCGTGTCCATGGATGACAGAAAACCTCCCGGAAAAAAGTTATCCTTGGACGATGTTCTCCGCTTTTAAAACTTTTAGTATAACGTTCCGTAAGCATATTTGTTTGTCACAAAGCAATTATTTGTCATTTACGAGAAATTTCTTCGCTAACATTGCCGCGCTCTCCAAAAACATGCGACTTCAACTCGAAAATTTAACCAACGTTTATGTTTTCCGTTTCTGTCCATCTGATCACTTCGACTATCTCTCGGAAAACACGGGCTTTTCACGTTTTTTAAAAGGTTGTAATTGATAGATTTCGATCCCCGTTCTTTATTTCGTTTCGTAGTAATAGACCTTATTCGCAATACCCGCCATCTTTGAACGCACTTAAGGACTGATGGCGTGATAACAGCAATGCAACGTGGTTTCTCATGGGGCAAACAAGTGATGAAATCTGCCAATACAAGAAAGCGCGGTCGAGTTTGTTTATTCTAGACAAAAAAAAATGAAGAACTTTTAATCTTGAAGACTTATGGTAAGCTATCAGTAAAAGCGTTTATTGTAACTTTATTTGGAAGCAACAGCGACCGTAGATGTCCATTCAGCATGTAATATTGACTTAACTCTTGTCGAAACTCGAAGTGCACATTTTGAATAACTATCAAATCGTCGTCTCGAGTTGATAGAATAACCAAACTCGACCGCGATTACTCGTATTGGCAAATTTTTTTCATTGTTTGCCCCCTGAGAAACCACGTGACATTGCTAATATCACAATATGGTCAGCATTAGATCACATCGGCCGTAGCCCCTTTCTTCCCTCATGAAATTTACACAAGGTAGAACTGTTTTCTGTTTTTATATCACACTTAGATGATATTTCAAGCTGAAAATGTTCATGAAAGTGCAAGTCTCTTCAATTTAAAAGTAAAAAAAAAAAAAAAAAAAAATGATACGAAAGACAGTGTGTTTCGAACCCACGACCCAGATGGTCCAGTATACAACGCTAACCACTAGCTCACTGAGGATTCTGCTAGATGGAGGCGAAATAATGTAAGTACATATAGCATCAAGCCCAACCCCCAAAAAAGAACCTAACCAGTTTCGAAACAGTGTTTAACCCTAACCAGCAAAGACAGTGCTTAACCCTACTTAGTAGAGGCAGTGCGTAACCCTAATCTGTAAAAGGCATTGGTTAACCTTTCGGAGTTTCAACCAGTTATTGTGGATGTATTTATCTTATGTGCTCTCTTGAAAGGTACTAGCAAGTCAGTGATACTTGAACAGCGACTGTTCACAATGCGACTTCTGTAACCGGGGCCACCTCGACACTAAAGTTGACCAATCGGACTGCAGGAAGAGAACTATAAAATTCCGAGAAAGTTGGTTGTCAATCAGAACAGATCTTGTTCACGGTACCCGCCATCTTTGCATGCGCCTTAGGATCATTGTGATAGGTTACCATTAGATCCGATCGACCGTAGCCCCTTCGAACACCTCTTGAAATTTACACAAGGTAGTTTTCCCGTTTACTAATTAGGGTTAACACGTAATCGGGAAAACATACGTTAGCTTTCCAGCCGGGCTGCAAACCGAGTAGAACCTACGAACCTCAAAATCGCTGTCCTCGTTTAAAAGGAGCTATTTTAAGATGGCCTTCTCCAAACTCAAACACATCTACCTTATATACTGACTTGTACATAAAGGAGAACAAAACTTACCAACTCTCTCCACTGCCGTCTTGAAAAGGTCTTCATATTCGACTTTTCGAGTAGGTAGATTCTCATAAGCGTGTTTTACTGTTTCCCCATCGACTACCAACACACAATATTGGAGCGAGTGCCTCTCTAAGTAAAGCTTAGCTTGTTTGGCAGTTGAGAAGTTTTTAACTAGAGGGTGTGCATGACCAATACTTTCAATTGCTTGTAATTGCGCTATGGATCCCTCTGATACGCTACAACCAATTATTGCCAGGTCTGCAGGCGCTGAAAATAAAAAGGAAACAAACAATCATACTTTTGATGCATTACCATGTAAGCCCCAGGCTTCCAGTTCAGTTCCCCGTCACTATCTTTTTCTATATTTTTCAAATATATGTAGCCTGTAAAGTGACAAAACAAATCAATCAAAGATAAAAAAAAACATATCGACAACAAACCACTGTGCGAATTTCATGCACAATTACACCTTATTTATTTGTTAGTTCCAGGATGGCCCACAGTTAGAATCAAGACTACTGACTCTGTTGTTTTCTTTAAAAATTTGCAATATTCACTGTGACTTTCCAAGAACAATTGTGGCTAAGTCTTACACTGGCTTTCCATACGACAGCATCTACCTAACAAATTCAACTTATTTTCGTGCTTATCCTAAATTTAGTGAACAAGCAGAAGCCTTTTTTTGGCGCGCATTCGGAATAATAAGAGCGTTCAACCTGTAAATTTCGCTGCAGCCGTCCTAGAGTTCTCAAGGCCGTAAAGATCAGAGTTTAATAGAAAATCATACAACTTCAATTTGAGACGATTTCACAAGAGTTTTTGAACAATTTACGTGCATGACTGCAGGGTATCATACAGATAATAGTAAAAGAAGGAGGGGATAACTAAGCGGCAAAATCAAGCAAAGAAAAGTAACATCTTAAATTTTAACCATTTTATAGCCATTAAGGACGTTCGCTCCCTACATCAGTTTTCACGTTGACATTTTATAAAAAAGGTAATCCGCTAGAGAATAACCTGTCCACTTCAGAATTGAAAAGAAAACAATCCTGGGAACTGGCCGCTATTGTTTCCTAGGTGAGCGAATTGAAAACAGAATTGTTTTTAAAACTTTTGGTCATATAACTGGGCAATAACGGCTTCTTTGCTATCAGTGATGTAAACACCTAAAAAAGAGAATCTTAGGTAAAATGGGTGTGTTCAATTTTCTGCTGTTATCATTCCTTGACGTGGATTTTGCCTGAAAGAAGACTCTTCTAAGCTGAACACACCAACTTTGTGTTGAAAACTTTGACCGGACTTGAATAGCATAATTCAGCAAACTGCTGACTAAAAAAAAGACAGACTACTGACATGGTTTAAAAGGACCTACCCACCCTGAACTACTGTCACTTCATGAGCTGATTCTGTGGCTGTTGAGTTCCGTTGTTTAGGCCTGGCTCCTTGGCTGGTTGGTCTGATTTGAGCCGCCGTTCTTTCCTCAGGTATCCCCTCGCTGGGTCTCTCATCGCTTTTCTTCCTGTCGGGTATTTTTAGTAAGGAGGTGTGCAGCTCTGGCTTCGTTGGGTTTGAGGATTCTGCTTCCGTTTTGGGTGTTGGGGTTGAAACGTTTTGCCGAAAGTTTTTTTTTGATAGCTGATATTCAGTGGACGTCTGTCTCGTTTTGCCTGGATTATCTTCTGCAGAAGTAAAATTTCGCATGTTGCTGGTTAAGAAATATCCAGTATATGCTCTAAGCTACCTCTCTAACAGTTTCATAATAGGAAACTTAGCATAGCGGCATAAGAACAGCGCGGTTGTCTGAAAATGGTCATTTAACTTTCTTCAACATACTTTCGAGAAATGACTCCCGCCCAATAACTGGGACAAGAGAGGATAATAGATTACGCTCTCTGATGGGAATCACTGTTCTTTTTGGAGGGAGAGTGTTAGTATTGAAGACCGTAGTGTTGCTGGAAACTTTTGCCATGTAAGGCGGGTGTATCCTGCTTCTCTACAACCGGGAAAAACTGTTATTATTCTTTCACTAAGATTTTGTCCCAGTAAAGAATAGTTAAAAAACTCAGCACCTTCGAGAAGATTAAAAGCAAAACCATCGATGCAGAACGTCTCACTTCCAGACGTTTATAGTATCATCGGAAAGACGTACAGCAATGAAAAGAACAACGAGGGTTGCAACCCTTGTGCATTTAGCCTGCAATGCAAGGTAGGCTTATTATTTGGGCGTGGGAAATATGTTTCTTTATTTTTGTATTGCCGTGGCCAGTACCTAACTTAGTGAGAAAGAAAAGTGCAGAAAAAGCAACGCTTGGGTATCTGAGAGCGTTATTTGAATACTCGACTTAAGAATTCAACATAACGGTTACGCTTATATACAGAAACTTAAAAATTTGCGCTTCTAAAAAACCCTGGACGTCATCCAATATACAACACTCACCGTTGATCAAAAGTTTCATGGTTCTGAGGAGTTCCTCACTTTGTTTCTCCCATTTGTACTTCTCTGCGTAAAGTGCACGCAATTCTTGACACTCCTGAAATGCTGTGTCACTGCCTTTCTGTCGTGTAGCTTCAATGGCCTCAGCCCAGTCCTCTGGATCTTCAGAATCCACGATGAAAGCTGATCCACGAGGTATCTCTTGAAGAGCTTCTCCAAATCCACTGTTTTGACTGACAAGAAATGGTATTCCAGCCGACAACGCTTCCAAAGCTGTCAAGCCGAAACCCTCTGTTCGAGAAGGAATGATGACAAGATTCGAAGCACATAAGAGTGTTAACAGATCTTCGCGGTTTTCAAGATATCCTTTAACAATGAGCTGACTTTGCAACAAGTCATACTTAAGCAATTCTTTAGTCACATCGGATTCACTCCCTTTGGATGCGCCCGCAAAAGTGAGATGGTAAGTCTTATCGACCAGCTTGGCGACTGCTTTAGCAGCGATGTCGTATCCTTTAAGTTTGAAATCTTCCGTGTCACCTCGGCCAAATACTAGAATTCGAAACCTCTTCCCCTTCATTGAGGATACATTTAACGATGCAAATTCATTAAATATGCCTGGAGTGAAATTATAAACTTTTTTTCCGCAAAAGTTGAGGAGGGCTGCGTAAAATTCCGTTAATTTTGGTCCAATTGCTACGACAAGATCAGCCATTTTACACAGTTTTAGCTCAGCCGATTGTTTTTCGTCACCTTTGGAAATGGCCCCAGAATATTCCTTGTACACTGCAAGTTCATCAGGCGCGGTGTGCACCACTTGTACCCATTTACATTGGTGAGAATTCCGTATTATCTGTGCTTGTTTTCCAAGTATTACACCATGTCCAACAACAAAATCAATGTCGAGATTTTCCGGTGGAAATGTCAACCAATCAATGGGGGCAAATCCAGGTCGCTCTTCTGCCGTTACTATGTTTACCTTGTAATTGCTAGCCTCTCTCTTGTTTTCGTCAGAACATTTTGGAACAAAGAAACTGACCGAGGTATTGGAAAGCTTGGCCAACTGTATGGCTAGCTCCCTGTTCATGGTTGATAGACCGCCTTTGGAAGATGCCCATTCGCTTGCCAAGAGTGTAATGCATATTGGTCTTGTAGTCATCACTATCTTCTAAGGTTCGCCCGCAGACATGTTCTTTGTGGAGGTTCTGTCCTTAACGTGAAGATGAAGAATAAAAAGACTTTAATCCCATAAGTACGAAAGAAAGTATAAACTACAGTGGGCTTGTTCAACCCATTTTGCAGGACCATTAGGTGTTTAAGGCCTTTGAAAGTCCAAAATAGAAATTGAATGAGCAGATTATGAAAACAGGAGGAAAAGAAAAATTTAGTTTTAATAACTAAAATACCGTTTTAATCCGAATAAGCGCCACATGTGGGAAGGAGCGGCCCCGATGAGTCCGATGGAGCGCGTATTCGACGAATTCAGTATAACTAGCCAGCGCGGCAGGCGCAAAAAGGGGAGGGGGAAGGGGGAGGGAGAAAAGCGCAAAAGAGGGGGAAGGGAAGGGAGCGCCTGCTATAAGAGCCGGTGTTTCTGTATTCCACCCACCATTTTCTGAACTAATCCGATAACATCAGCTGTCAATACGTGACCAAGTAGGGCGCTTCTCAGCATGGTCCGAACTTTACTACTTTGTTTATCGGAAATTGTCGAGTCGAGACGCTTTTTTCAAGTGATATCATAATCGAGCGAAATAAAATGTTTAATAAAAAAGTTCTAAATAACTCAAATTAATCTTAAGTAACGTCAGAAAGCTGCTTAACATCATATTTTGATGCTAGGAAATTTTGGTGTATTCTCTTTCTTGCGATCCTGAAAAAAAACCTGTTTTCTCACCACCTTTTTAAGTGCAACTTTGTTCTAAATTTTGAATTTTAGCGCTTTTTAAGATTAACGTGAGTTATTTAGAACTTTTTTATTAAAATTTTATCACGGCTATTGAAAATGTAAGGTTTGAAATATATTTGCGTTTTATTTAAATTCAAACATAAAGAATTTGTTTACTTTTCACGGAGGTTATTCGCTTAACACCACACTTTAAGTTCCTCAGGTGTCGGATTTTCAGTAGCAGGTCTAGATCGCGCAAAATTCGGATTTAATCGATTTCAAAGTTTTTTGTTTACTTTTGTCATATTGATATCGATTTTACTAAAAACTGTATTTTGCCAAACTGTAATATTAATTCATCGTCAATCACTGGTTAAAATTTTAAGGCGATTGAAAAACATCGGTATGGTCTCCGAAAAACTGTATCAAAACCCCGTAATACGCTAGACTACGAGTAGTCCCCCATTTTTCCTCAGGGATAGTAGAGCGAGCGAAACGCGAGCGCGCGTGAAAATCACCCCACACGAGAAAAGGCGACACGCGGCGGGGAGAGAGAAAACATCATTTTTCTCTCTCCCCGCCGCGTGTCGCCTTTTCTCGCCTGGGGTGATTTTCACGCCCGCTCGCGTTCCGCTCGCTCTACTATCGCTGAGGAAAAATGGGGGACTACTCGTAGTCTATAACACGCTTATTCGAAGTATAAATACCAACGGTGGATCCTAGAATTAGTGCAGACCCTGAGAGGCCTGTTTATATGAACGAAACATGTACAGTATTTCCTTCGCAAATGATCTGCTGAATGAAGCCAACAGCAGCATAGTGCTTCATAAACATCTACCACAATGTGGGCGACCCAAAGTGTCACGTTATAATAACTATATAAACCTTTCCATGCCAATCTTTGCATACACTGACAATATCTCTCCATAAAAAAATATTCGGAAAGCTTTTATAGAGACTCGCCCTCCCCACCTCCGATGTCTATGGCCTCTTCACCGATTTTTCCTTAAGGGAGATAATACATAGCCCGGCAGTGTTATGCTCAACAAATGTCCAGAGGGGGAGGGGTTCGGAAGTTGACTGAGCCATTTTGGGCAGACACAAGCTCAAGATCCTCAAGAGCACTGAGAAGCTAGAACACAAAATCAGGAAACGCAGAAAGAACGAACAAGAAAGAATTTTTCATATTGCAAATCGGAGCCGTAAATTGTGTACAGAACAATATGATTTTGAGAAATACTCACCAAAAAGCTATGTTGTAAATTTTCGTACGCAAACTAGTTCTAGCCAATCAGAGGAGCGAACGATGGTTTTCACACGTGAAAAAATTGATACGTCCAATCAGAATCGCGAACGATGTTTTTTCACGTGTGAGAAAAATGATACGTCCAATCAGAGGCCACAGAGGTGTGTGATTTTCGTGCCAAAATTCCCGCCTTTTATTGCAGCTTGCAGCGCTGCTTCGCACACATTCAACGAGAAAAGTTTTACTCAAAGAGTTTTTCTCGCTAAGAAAGTGAAAAACATTTGGGAAATGGAGTGGAATTGTTTCGTTTGTTTCACTGTCGATAAAGAAAATGGTAAAGAGCCGGCGAAACAACAGCGGAAAGGGATAAACAGAACGAGACGTAAGCTTTTGTTGTGCTTTTTGTCGGAGCTACTTTGCCTTTCATTTAAGCTTAAGCTTATATTGAAACCGGCCATTTTACTTAAATTCACTCATTTTCAATTGTGCATTGAGAGCAAACAGTTAAGATTACTTATACTTCTTAGATTACCTCATATCCTCACCGTCATTTATGTTTTTAACAAACGTTTTTACTAAAAAGCTCATACTTCGTTTTCGTTGTCATTTTGCGGTAAGTGTGTGGCGGAAAATTTTAGCATTTTTGAAAGATTTGAAATAAAAAGGCCGCCAAAATGATGAATGTCTCAGTATGTATATAATAAACACAATACCACATGGAAAGTGCTTTGTACGGTATTCACGCACTCGTTGTTTTTGTATCAGAAATCTTACTCGTTCGCCGCGCTCACTCGTTCGATTTCTGATACGTCAACAACTCGTGCGTAAATACCGTACGCCAGCACTTTCCATGAAGTATTCTCTATGTATGAAATCAGTGCAACTCTGAAAATTAAGATTAACAAAAAGCTTTACATGACGACATCCCCGTGACACAGGATCTTCTCCTGCTAAAATAAACACAGCAAAAAATCTCCTGTTTTCTGGTGATTTTACCAAACGGTTAAAGTATTGAAAATGCCACGTTCACGATCCGTTTTCTCATTTCGGAATTCACAAGGAAAACTCGGCGTTCACAATCCGTTAACACCAGGAAAATATGCTGTTTACTTCACGTTTTCCAGCACACGGAAAACGTGGCTGAACAGTGCGCTTTCTCTCGTTAACCGGACATTTTACCAAACGGTTAATGTAAGGAAAATATCACGTTCGTGACTCGTTTTCCAACTTCGCGCAAAAGACAAGGACAACTTGGCATTCACCGTCACGACTTAACAGTGGGAAAATATGCTGTTCATGTCATATTATCCAGCACATGGGAAACGGGGTTGAACAGCTCGTTTTCTCTCGTTAACCGGAAACTTTTCCAAACGGTTAATGTCGTGAAAATACTCACTTCCTAAATCCTTTTCCGACTTCGGGTAACACAAGGAAAACTCCCGGGAAAACTCAACAATTACCGGCAGTAACACCAGGAAAACATGCCTTTCACTTCACGTTTTCTAGCACCTGGCAAACGCGATTCAATAGTGCGTTTTTCAACCGGTCAGTGTAAAACGCAGACTGCGGACTGCGGACTGCAGACTGCGGACCAGGGGTAAAATGCAGACTGTGCGTAAAATGCAGACTGGAGACTGAGAGTAAAACGCAGGCTGGGGTAAGATGCAGACCGAGCATAAACTGTAGTCGTGGAAGGGTTCAAGGGCCAAAAACTCCCTCAAATACATGTAAACGAACTCTTACTTGACGACATCTGCTTTCACAAATCCATTCAGGACTTTCTTCTCTAGAACGTCGTCCTCGACCCAAAAACATAATCGCAATCTTGAACTTTTTTTTCCGTCCGAGAGACCTCACGCTTCAACTTTAGACGCGAAGTTTTCGACATACGTGACCAGGGACCTTAAATGAAAGCTGCTGACCCAAAATACTGTACAGGAAGAATTATGGCGATAAAAAGGAAGTAAATCGTTCCAACAACAACGAAAGATGTTCTGCAGGAAATTTGGATGACCTTCTATGAAAGTATTACAAATCAAGGTACACAGACTTAAGCTGTTCGGATGTTCATTGAAACTTCTGGCGAATGTGCAATGCACTTCGACTAGGAAGCGAAGTGTGTCACCGGCTAGCTATTTCACCGATATGGAGAAGAAGGAGCACAAACGTTTAAAAAAGTCTACAGTCTTTATTCTGCATTTCGCACCCAGCCTGCGTTTTACTCTCAGTCTGCAGTCTGCAGTCTGCAATGTACACTCAGTCTGCAGTTTACTCCTGGTCCGCAGTCTGCATGTTACACTGACCGGTTTTTCAACTCATGTTACCATCGTTAGCAGCAACGTGTAAACAGGCCGTTGACCGCCGTGTTTTATTTGGGTCTAAACATTTCCTGCCAAGAATTCCCTCAGGTTTATTTTGATTATCTTAATTACCAGCAACAACTTTGGCAAGAAACCGGTGTCTGTGAATATTACAACGGAATTCTCAGTAATCTCAGTTCAGCAAATTCTGAATACGATAAGAGTAATCGTCGTTGTTTTTGAAACAAACTCAAGGCATGCAAAATGCATGCAGAGGCTTTCTCTTATTTCTGCCGCGAGTAGCCGCGAAGCTAAATTAAAGATCCTAGAGAAAACGCAATGCAACAGACCATTTCTGTTTCCCTAGTAACCGGGCTCGATAGCCTTGACATCATGAGTGACACAAAAAAACAAGATCACATGACCCCAAAGTCCTCGTTTCTTTCGTGTGATAAAATTTTGTCACATTTCGAAAAAGGCGGCGGGAATTTCGAGTTTTTGTTGTTTTGCTGCCACGTCCGCGGTCGATCTTGGCCAAGAAATCTCTCTTTCGGACCGTTACTTCTCGTTATTACAAGCCACGATTAAGGGAAGCAAGGTTTTGAGGGCGCAAGTGGCCGAGAGAACGGAGAAAGAAGAGGACGTCAACCGACTTACTGTTAAGCTGTAGACGAGCTGTGTGAAAAGTTTTCGACCAAAGAAGCGTCTAGAAAGAGGAAAAGGAGCGCCAGTTCTTAACTGACGGTTTCAAGACAATTAGGGTAAGATCTATTTTAACTTCTTTTAGCATGTATTGTAAGGAATTGATCTCGACATTGAATGCAAGTCGAGGAATTGTTAGTAAGGTCAGTAAGCTACGTATACAGCGACGAGTCTGGAATAGTGAAATTCGGAATCCGGAATACAACTGTACCTAAGGAAACTTTCTTGGAAGGGACAAGAGAACAGCTCTGGAAGATAGGCTAAAACTTACCGTACCGTGTGGCACAAATTTTTTGTGGGAGTTCATTTTTTGCAGATGTAGCATGTATGTGAGGCACGGAGTTTGGACATGATAATTTATTTGTTATATGACAAAGTATTAATTTTTACAATAAATCCTGGCTGACCTGCCACTAGCCAAACTAACCGAGGCAGATCGGTCTCACAAGTTCTAAATATTACAGATAACCCGATGCTGCTGGTAAAAAGAGCAATTACATGTAAAGAGACACAGTCGCCTATTGGGCCACACTGACCTGGACACTACTTTTCCCAGTTTGAAAAAGATTTACCTCAACTCAAAATCAAATGTACACATCAGATAATCCAGAAATCCACTTTAATCTTGCCTAGTTTTTCAATCGATCCTCTATTTTTTTTCTGAAAACCTCTTTCTGACTCAGCAAACTTTTATGCATCCTAAAACATTATTTTATCATATTTGGCTAAACACAGTATCCAAAGGAACATAAAAAGAGGAGGTGGGAAACATGCAGGCGCTGGACGGGAGAAATCCCCTTCGTGTACCAAAATAACAAAAGAAATGAATCAATAACACTGCAGAGCAAATCATCATTACAAATATTTGGAAAATTGATGGAGAAAGGTTACAATCAAGCTCGTGACCCGTAAGAGAGCAACAAAGAAAAAACACAAAAATTTACTACGACAATTTATTTGCGAAGATATAAAACACGACGAAAGTTAAAGAGCTACTAAACCTACGGATTAATGGATATAGCGAACATATTTTGTCAGTCCCTTGGCGTGACCTCTCACGAGAAAACGTTCCTTACGGTTTTCCGTTTTCGAACGGATTTGGTATCCGTTTGAACGGTTTGGGGTATCCGTTCAAAAACAATTGTCATCCGTTCGAACGGCTTTGGCTATCGGTGAGGGTAAAAGGCGGAATGAGTTTGCGGAATGGCATGTGGCATGGCTTGCGGAATGACATAATTATGCAGAATG